GGTTCTATTTTGTAGTTTTAAGAAGGTGTAACCGTCACGCCAACTTTTTTTTCTTTGCTGCTTCTCAGCTCGCTCTCAAATGGCAAGTAATGCCTCCGTAGTCCTTTACAACCCCTACGCTTACCTACGCATGCACCTCTTCATTTGGCACATTACAAAATCACATTGAAATAATATTTCTATAGTTTGTAGAAGTTGTCATCGCCACCTTATTCATTTGCCATTCCTCAACTCGCTCTCTCATGGCAATCGTCATCTAATTGGTCATTGCAACCTTTGATGCCTGCTTATTCGCTCGTCTGGATTCGTCTGGTACAACTCAAATGTGCAACGAATTCGAAGTTGACGGATACATATCGACTTAATTATCCTAGGGTACGATCGAATAGTAGCTAGGGTTCAGTTCGTACTGACTGATACTAATTGATTGGATCATGCTCCGTGCTGCATGTGTCCTTTTGAATAGTGATCAGTAAACCGTCAGTGTGGCATTGCTAATAGCGGTTCCACTAATTTATTTATTTTTAAAAAAATGTGCTTATAAACAGTGCCTGGTTTCAGGATTATTTGCAGAGCCATTAATTCTGATACGTTATTTGCGGTGTACTTGATTTTTTTTCGTGATTTAATAACTGCAATATATGAATTAATAAACAATTTGTGCTTCGCGAAGTAGAGGATCCGTTTAATTGTTTGTTGATTAAATAATCGAAGAAATTTATATTTGGTTCCGCAATTTGGAACTTGGTTTAATATTCGTCTCTTAACTCCAATATTAAGTACTCCCTCCGTATTTTAATGTATGACACCATTGACTTTTTATTAACGTTTGATTATTCGCCTTATTTAAAAAATTATGTAATTATTATTTATTTTATTTTGAATTTATTTATTATCAAATAATCTTTAAGCATGCTATAAATATTTTTATATTTGCAAAAAAAATTTGAATAAGACGAATTGCTAAACGTTGGTTAAAAGTCAACGACGTTATATATTAAAATATGGAGGGAGTAAACTAAAATTCGTACATCAAAGTATCAATACCGTATATATATACCCTGTCAAGGATATCATGTACTCCCTTCGTCTCATAAAAAACCAACCCAGTACTAGATGTGACACATCCTAGTAATATAAATCTGGACATACCTCTGTCCAGATTCATTGTACTATAATATGTCATATTCAGTACTAGATTCGTTTTTTTGACGGAGGGAGTAGATGGCTTTGATAGTTGCGGGATGGCTGTTACTAGAGTTAACAAATGAAATTTAAACCACATAAATGAGCTTGTACGTTTTCTTCCCCTGTTTTTCCCCGTGACGCAGAGCCACGAGCCGTCGCGAATTGGCGCATGGTCTCTTCTGCATGTACATTATTCAACCCAGTAGCAATACTTTAGTCCAAAGTATTTTAGTCATTTACATATATAAACATTTGATGACATTGGTAGGGCCGGTTCTGAGATTTCGGTGGCCCGGAGCGAATCTCCCTTAATATAATCATGCAAATACAATCAATATATATATATATATATATATGAGTTGGATAATATGAACCTAGTTGCATATGCACCAACAATCTACACCATTCATATGTGTGCACGGATCTTAAAGCTCGGTCCATTTAGCCTATGGTAAAATGTACCTATCTGCTTTTGACCCCTTATAGTGAGAGCATGGGATGGTACACAATGCAATTTCAATGACTGAAATGCCCTTTAAGTAGTACTACAGTACAATTCAATGTGTAATATTTATTTTTTTTCATTTTTTTTTGAGCTATGGTAGTGATAGTGGACTGCTCTATGGTCTCTACAACTTGCAAAATTTGATTTAGAGTTATATCAGTGACAAATTTTCATTCTATAGATAGATATTAATTTGTAAATGTCATTTGCAGGAACATCAAGCTTGATCAGAATGATCTTTATACAATATGATCTCCTTTCATTTTGGTCTGAGATGACAACCATATGATTGCCTTGTTTCTGTACAAACGATTGTTGAACTCTTAAATCTTGTGAATGACACTACTCCAATGTCCTGTATTGATGCGCTATTTTTTTTCAAGTGTAAAATCCCAGTTCATGAAGATTTTTGTGTTTCTTGTGACTGAGATTGTCATTTTCTTAAGCCATGTGTTTTATATGCTTGGCCCTTTTAATTTTATATGCTTGCCTAGATTTATGATTAGCCTGATGGAGTATTTTCTTAATATGTTTGATGAGATAAATCAACAGAGTCATAAATCATTTTGGGATGTCATGCATGGCCGCGTCATTTGTTGAATGGATATATAGATATCATTTTCGTAATATGTGTCTGGGTATATAATAGACATCGTTTTGTCATTATTGGATGAATGTCATATTGAGATAAAAATTTTGGGCTTGGAGATATACCATATGCCAAAACGTGACATATATGTTATATAGATATATCATACAAATATGTGTAGATTAGACTTCTTCAAAAAATATGTGTAGTTCTCCATTGGGGCAATGAACTCAAGGAGTACAGCAGCAAAAGGGCAATTTTGGAACCATAAAAAGAGCCTAAGACTCATTGTGTACCTATCCCATCTCTTCTCTCTGTAATAAATATCCATTTGGTCAAGTGAAGGTACTTTTCCAACACGAATCTTAGTAAACACCAACGGTGTAGATTTTGGGTGCAGGTGTACTTAGGTTCATATATGCACCTAGAATCTAGACCATTAAACGTGTTCCAAGATTCGCGCACATATATAATGGGTTACCATGAAGTTATCAGCCATAGGACCATTAATTGTCTTCACTGTGTACTCTCTCTACTGACATGGACCATGTGGCCACCGATGCATCTCTGTGAGTACCAAAACACCCTTTTGACTGTGGCTGCCATTCATTTAGCCTTTTTGGTTAGTGTGTTGACTGTGTTCCTTGCAGGCGACGCCCATTGATTGCAAACTAATGGAATTTTCCACTAATACATTGTGAGTGGTATTTACATCATGTTTTTATTTTTGCAAATGACATCTGCAAAATGATATATCTCTGTAATTTGAAATAGATCAATGGATTGATGTACCTGTAAATGACATATCCAAGTTACACGAGGGATATTTGATATGTCCATACTGTTATTTTTTTTAAAAAAAATGATATGTTTCGATTAACCAGGTGATATTATCTATTTAGCATATATCAAAATGACATTGCAAACTGGTGGAGTATATATCACCCGACATTGTATTCACACAGTAGCATTGAATACTTCAGTATCCTCTGCATGGGAAAACAACAAAAATGATTGCAGCTAAGTATATACTCATTTATCACAGTACCTGCTAGCCTATCAACCAAAGTCCTACTTATATCAATGAAACTGCTTAACGTAAAAAAAAATCCCGATGCATGGATATATAAGGAATACAAAACTACAAGGATATTTAGGTTGTGTTTAGTTCGCGAAAAAAAATTCTTTGAGTGTCACATCGAACGTTTGACCGGATGTCGAAAAGTGTTTTCGGACACAAATTAAAAACTAATATCATAACTCGACTGGAAACCGCGAGACGAATTTATTAAGCCTAATTAGTCCTTCATTAGCACATGTAGATACTGTAGCACTTATGGCTAATCATGGACTAATTAGGCTCAAAAGATTCGTCTCACGACTGTGCTATTAGTTTTTTTTAATCTATATTTAATGCTCGATGCATATGTCCAAATATTCGATGTGATGTTTTTGGAAAAAAAATTTAGGAACTAAACAACGCCTTACTCATAAAACGAACAGGGAATACAGATTAGATCAGAAAATGTTATTCTTTAGCATAGCCCTAGAGTAATAAGGATCCAAACTAATTTGTGCATGAACAGGCAAAAAAAAAAAAACAAATACACATGATCTAACAATTTTATCTCAAAAATTTACCAATATAAAAAAATTAACCTTGGATTGGAGGGAAGTACTAGTAGAAGGGTATTTTGGGAAGAGCAAAGTAGAAAGTGTACCTACCCTCTCTGCTTGTTATAAGGGGAGAAATTAGGCATAGTATATTTTGACCATGGTTTACAACGTAAGAATGCTTTTCTTTTAAATAGAGATGGACAGATGTCAATCATATGACAAAGGAGCATATGCACGTGCTAAATATCCAACTCATATATATATATATATATATATATATATATATATATATATATATATATATATATATATATATATATATATATATATAGTAAATTTGTTTGGTGCTCCATGGTGCCCGGGCACCATGATTGAAATTTACTATATACCTAATTCAAATGAGTATGAAACTTTTTCAAATATTTAGGTATTAACGTTAACTACTTTACTAACTAGTTCAAAGCAAGTTTGAACTGAATTCAAACTTGCTTTTGTTAGATTTTGATTCTAGGTATATAGCATCCAAACATATAATTAGTTAGGTATGTAATAATGGATTATAAAATAAAGTTAAATTTGAGTTGTTTTGTTGCTAGGTATAGGTATGAATCGAATACTTATAAGTAGGTATATACTCACAATTTAAAAATTTTGAAAAATTTGGGCGAATTTGTGTATTTCATACCATGGTGCCCGGGCACCATGGTGCCCCATATGAGTGTCCTATATATATATATATATATATATATATATATATATATATATATATATATATATATATATATATATATATATATATATATATATATATATATATATATATGTGGATATACTATACTACAGATGGGGTGCGTTGTATTACAACACAACCCACCCTACCCCACCCCTCACGCCCGCCCCCCCTCCCACCCCCACCCCAACCCCGTCGCACCCACCCACCTACATGTCCCCCACAATTGGAGTAATTGTTTTACTGCTCGAACAAACGACCGTATGTATGTGAATCATATGTGATAGTAATACGGTTACTAAAGAAAAACACGTATTAGATATGTTGGTCCAAGACCCATCCAACAGAAATGAACCACCACCCATTCAGTTTTCCCCATTTTTCGGATCTGGAGAGAGGTGATGGGCTGATGGCTGCGGCGCTCAGGGGAGCAGCTGATTGGCCACGATGGCGGCTTGGTGGAGCCGCTCAGCGACGGTAGCAGCGGCAGCCCCGGCTAAGAGCGGTGGCGGCCCTGGCTAGAAACGTCAAGGCGGTGGCCCTGGTTCGAAGGAGCAGCTCAGCGGCGGAGGCGGCCGCCAACTTAGTGGCTCGAGCCGGAGGCGAGGTTCCGCGCGATTCGATTCGATTTGATTTTCTTTTGTGTGTGTTCATTGACGGTAACAACGACGATAGCGTTTTCTTGCAGTGGCGTCGATGAAAGCCGGCTCCACGATGACGGGTGACCGCTGTTCTCCGCCCACGGTCTCCACCGGCATCCCTTCAGACGCCACCACCCTCCCCCCCCCAACCCTTGCCGACCTGCTCCACCCAAGCCACCGTGACGCCGCTCCACCGGCTTCACTGGCGTTCGGCTCTCCACCGCCGGCCCCGTCACTCTGCGACCCCCTCGCCATCTTCGACACGGTGGCCGCCTCCCGCTCCTTAGGATCCCCGAGTCACCACCGCCCTTGATGTCCGCCTTGGCCATGGACCATTGAGGAGGACTGAATTCTGCATTGGTCATTTGACTTTGTTTTAATCTTTCACATGCTCGTTGTTTTTCAGGGATGAATACAGTGGATCATTGTGGTAGGCCTGCTCCTAGATTGTTGTCTTCATGATGCATTCAACACCTCGTTCCTTGCTCTGATCTTAATTTTAACTTTAGTACTGAATTCGTCTATGCAACCTTCAGGAAATTGGAACAAGACCAGGTGAGCTTTTGTGTACCATTATGAGATTGAGGCCCTAATGATTGCGAGTGGTGGTGGTCATATACAATTTCTTTTTTGGATTGCTACTTATAGTCCTGCGGCCTGGATGTTGTTTTTGCGATGCATTAATCACCTAATTTTCATACTCATATGAATTTTTATGTGGCCAGACATGAATTTGTGTGTGCAGTATTGTTAGAAATCTGCTCACATCTGAATTTTCATTTGTTCAGTTATCAGGAGTTGGCGCCCTTGCTGTAGAACAACACCTGCAACATGCACATACTCTGTTGTTTCTCCGCATCGGCTGTTTTTTGCCAATGAGGCGGGGATGGCAACCTCCACATCTGCCGCTGCCTGACTACCTAACTGCTATATCTGCATGTTTTTTTTTTGGAATACTTGGATAATTAACTAGTGAATGCTCTGAATTTTACTTGACGCGAGAACTTGCGTTGGAGGCATAGCTTGATGGCACTGCGGTTCACAATGCTTTGCTTTAAATGTTCATGTTCTGAACTTTTTGGGTTGAGCAGATTAGGTAGAGTGGATTGCTCCAAATATGTTAGCTGAATTTTGTTCTACTGCAGGAATGCTCTGAATAAATTTTGTAGACTTGATATTTGGATTAAACCCGTTATTTTCAAGTTTGTATATTTCTATGCCTCATTGATATGCTTAAATATGACACCCCTCACTTATAACTGTTGGCTAACAATAGGCATAATAAAGTGAGGTTCTTATGAAGCATTTTATTTCTTCTTCAGATAATTGTATCTCACTTAGAGTCATTTATGAGTGTAAATCACTTAGATGATTTAATCTTTTTTTGCAAATATCCAGGTGGCCATGGGATGCCTCCCTAGATGATGGCCGTGGGTGATGGATATCTGTTGATGGGGAGGCCTAGAGAATCTGCAGCACTTTGTCAGCTTGATTCGATATGTGGCGCCGGAGTCGTCCTACTCGCGGGATTCGGGCAAGGGTCGACCCACATCGTTAGGCCTGATCTACATTGTTGGTGTTGTTGTAATCTTTTATTTGTTTTTGTGTATTCTACCAATATATCGCATTGTGTATGTTGATTAGATAGTTGTTGTAATACTAAATCTTATTCAAACATTTCTCGGATGTTCATACATCTTTTACTCAAGCAGTCTGGGACTGAGAGCAATCAATTTACTCATTTACTCAAGGAAGGTGGGTCAAGAAAAACATAAAATAATTTATTTACTAAGATAAGACTAGGGTAATTTTTGTTGCTAAATCAAAAGTTTATACTTCTAACTTGAGAATAATTTCTTTACTGATAGAAGGTTGGAGCAATCAAACCTTAAGTAACTATGTTACTAATTAAAGTTTACTGGTAGTTTTATCTTTCAGTAAAACAATTACTAAAAAGTCAAACTTTATGGTACAATAAAACCGCAAGTAACTTTGTTACTAATTGAATATACAGATAATGATAGTAACTGAGTTACTCAATCACTCCTATAATTTCTCCATGTGGTGTTCCTGCGACCCAGAGTGGTTTTGTGTGGGGGCTTTTACATGAATATTAAATTGTTAACTTATCATTAATAACGGTAAGGAACTCTTCGTAAAATTGTTACTCACAAGCATACTGGAATGGTTACCACACAAGCACTTAAGTAAATAAATTACTAAGATGACTACCATTCAGTAAATAACATACTAATATGTTTACCTGTCAAAAAAAAAGTGCGGTATGGATTCAACATCCAATTTTCACGAATAGTAAATATGTTACTGATAATGTATTGTACTACTGATAAGGCCTTAGTAATCGTTTTACTATACATGATTTCGAAAAGGTGTGGGTGAAGAGTGTTCAGGGGGATTAGGGTGTGGGGTGGGGCGCCTGGGGTGGGTGGGGGTGCATACTGTGAGGAGAGTGTTTTAGTTATAGCGCACCCCATACGCGGTTTAGCGCATCCCTATATATATATATATATATATATATATATACCTTAAGGTGCTACTTAGTTTCGTGGCACTCCTCACAGCAACCCCATACTATCTACACCCACCACTCTCCCCTATTAGTAATTATTTTAAAGCATCTCCAGCAAAACCCCTAAACACAGACCTTAAACAACTTTGAGGGGTTATGACTAAAAAATAAAGTCCAACAGAGCCCCTACTTAAGACCCCAAAGTAGGAAGGCTCCCAAATTCCCTCCCACGGCCCCTAGGCCTGGGGGCTCTATCCCCAGCTCCTATCCAGTTTTCTTTGACACGAGGGGATGTTTCCACGACGCGTGCAGCGTGCTCCTTCCCGCGCGATCTCTTGCACGCCGCCGGCCGTCTTGTGGGTGATTATGCTCTAATCCGGTATATCATTGGATATTGATTGTAGGATGGATGAACTGCTACTGCTACCAGCCGCAGCAGATTCACTGATCGAGCATTCTAGCGAGTCATCATGCACTCACACTAGTGTATGTATGTGCACAGATCAACGTGATATCAGAAAAAAAAATTCAAAATTCAATTTGAATTGTGTTGTTTGAAATTATTAATTTAAATATGATTAAATTCTATGCGTTGGAAATATTAATATTTACATTATTGTGATATTAAACTAAACATAAAAGATGGATTATAAGATGAAATAGAGGAGAAAAAAAATAGGGGCTAAGAAATAGAGGTTGTTGCTGGAGTTAGAACCATTTTTAGAGTCATGAGGAAATAGGGGCAGCCCACATTTAACCTTTAGGGACTCTAAAATATGAGCTATTGCTGGAGATGCTCTTACTCTCATCTCACGCTAGCAGCACCCCTTATACACAATTCCATACTCTTTAACGTAGTAATTTTTTTATTTAAATCCTCCAACCTATATATGTAGCCATTTTATATGGTAGGATAGATTCTCAAAATTTTATCCAACATTACCGGTTTCCTCGGATCTGGAGAGGCCGCGGAGGGCGCATCAGCACCGATCGGGAGGAGGCGGCACAATTCGGCGTGGAGTTGGCAGGCGGCGGCGGGACCATGGCAGCGACCGATTCCATCGTAGCCAGGTAACGACCAAGCCGAGCGCGCGGGAGGTTGCGACGTGCTGCGCATCTGACAGCGAGGGGAGATGGGAGACGGGCTCATCTGACAGCCAACGGAACGGCGGCCCCAGCGACGGCTGGATCCATCCAGCACGCGACGGTGGACGGCGGCCCCGGCGACGGTGGGATCTTTCGCCTATCCAGAGTGGCCGGAGGCGGAAGCGGAAGATTGATACGTCAGATCTGGCACGAGCATCACCGCTGGAAACGAATCCACATTGGGCGGCAGCCTCTACACCTCAAAATCGCCGGTGAGTTCCCGACTGCTACCTCGTCCACGGCGCTCCTCTAGGCTGGTGGCTGAGATCCACGATGCGCCTCTCTCTCTATTTCCTCCGCAGGATCCAGTACGTCTTTGGTCGTTCCCGTCTCCGGTCGAGATTGGCGGCGGCTGCTGGTCGTTGGCGGGCACACCCATCTCTGCATGTGTTGGTTGGTTGGGCGAGGAGGATGGTGATGTCGTCCCCCTCCATCCCTCCCCTATAAAAATGTTGCGGCGCTGGAATCTAGTGTAGCGCTTCAGTCTTATGGTGTTGCTAGATTGGGTTCCGGGTTCTAGCTCCTGCGGGAGGCTGCGATGGTGAGGAGGTGCGTCGTGGTGGCCACTAGCCAGATGGTGTGGGATGCGGTGGCTGCATGGACGCCTCACTGCCTGTTTGCCTCGTCCAAAATCTGCTTGCACCAGATCAGCTCCACGCCCTCAGGCGGTACCTGCTTGCTGCGTGACAGTGAGCTAACGAGATAATCAATGACATGAATTGTTGGTTTCCAGTGTATGTGCATGCATCAACTTTTTTTTTCTTGAGAACTGCATGTATCAACTTGATAGTGAGTTTCTCCTCCACTGCTTTTCTAGACTAAGAACTTTTTTTTACAGATCCCAATCCCTTGTTTTTGTGTTTCTGGTACACTCACTGAGATTCTGAAACTTCACGCTTCTGTACATCCACAGGTACGATTTTGGCTTCTCAGTTTCAAGTTCCAACCTTTGTTTCTATTGCAGTTTGCCCCTTATTCCCCTGTGGTCTTGCTGTGATTTATGTATTTCCTTTTTGCTGGCTTGCATAGCCATCGAGTTGTGAGCTTCCGTGACCGGGATTGTGTGGGATGATAGCCATGATACAATGTCATATACATAGTGGATACTTAAGTTGCCTTTTCTTGTCTAAACAATAGAAATATCTTCCTGGTGATATTGTATGGCTCTCAATTTGCAAGCTCATCCATTTCTTTTGGTCGTATGGTAATTTTCTTGGCTTCCAACCTCTGAATGTCTCATGTTTTCAAATTTTCAGGGATTAGAGACATTCTGCTCTGAATGTATATTGTTCATATGTGGCTCCTGTCTTGCGTCGCCGCCGAGATTGCTCCTCTGTGTTTGCTCTCTGGCCATCGAAGGGGGAAGGGGATCAAGGAGGCTGTATGTCGTTCATCGCTAGAAGAGGGCCGGATTGCTCACCGGAGCTGCTTGCAGAATTTTGTAGTTATTTTTAATGGAATTACTGTGTAAATTTTATTCTGCTTTACATTTTGCTTCTGTATAGTCTTGTATGCGTGATTGAATGTTCAATTCTACACAAGCCTATATCGTGGTAAAAAAATTACCATCGAGTAAAATGTTTATGACTATTTTGTTGTTCAGCAAATCAAAACATTTAAAAGCTATGTCTTAGTAAACAAATTACTAACCTTTCATCTATGTTTTAGTAAAAAACTTACTAACAGTTCATTTGATTGAAACTTTTGCAAAATACATGCTAAGTAAAAAGATTGCCAAAGGACCAGAAAACATAAATACATGTTTCAGTAAAACCATTACTGACGCAGCGGAAGAATTAAATTGTATTTACACGATAATTTTTTTACTCGGGAAATCTCAGTTAATTTTTTACTCAGGGTGGATGGGATGGCCGGGACTGAGACATGAATCAGTAATTTTTTTTACTCGGCACATCTCAGTTAATTTTTTACTCGGGATGGATCATATGGCCGCGGCTAAAACATGAATCAGCATTTTTTTTACTCAGGCTATAAAAGTTAAATTTTAACTGGGGTCGGGTGGGTTGGCCTTGCGGGCAATAAGATCAGGAAAAAACGGAGTAGGAGGATACGATACGTGAGAAGAAAACTAAAAATCCGGAACTAGACCGCTCAAAACAACGGAAACCCAGAGAAAAGAGGTGGACCCTCAGAAAAACGGAAAACCGGGGGGAAGCGTTCGTGAGGAGCGCTACGAAATTTCGTAGCGTGCGGCCTCTGTGTGACGCTTCATGTAGCGCCACCGTGTGTGTATAAAATAAAACGTTAGTGTTTGAATCTTAGATAAAGAGTAAGTGTTTCACGTAAAACGAGATGGTAATAACATGTGATTAATTAAAGTTTTAATTATTACAAACTTCAAAAATGGATTAATCTGATATTTTAGAAAAAAAATGGATTAAACTTCAAAAATTTTACCCTCTCCTAGTAGGAGAAACCAACAGGGCTTTAATGAAAGTCCATGTAGATTAGTATTTACATGAAAACCCTCATAGATTTCTTCGAACATTCCAGATGTGAAATTATTGCTGATGGTATAAATATCAATATCGTCCAATGGTTTTCCTCCATTTATTGGCCCTTACGTTATTATATTAGCTCATTCACCATTTCCTTTTCATACCCGATACATACTTAACTTTCTCAATGTCATGATATTGATGATGTGTGGGAACTGAAAAAAAAATCAGTATAATAGTGAGTGGGAAACATGTTAGTAAATTAAAAAGCTACGAAATACTACTGATTAGTTAGACCACGGATGAACACGGTAAGTTAGTCGACAACACGCGCCGAACACCGCTTCGTGCAAGATCAAACTCCGAACAAAGGCCTAGAAATTAAAACTGATGAAACCAAAAGTTGTCTGTCACTAACAAAACATATGGCAATTGGCAACGATGGCAATGTAGTGTTGCTGCTGCTTAATTACCTCCTACGTCATATGGAGATGAGCAGATTCGATATGATATTCTCGCACAGCTAGCTGCACTCTTGCAGTCATGGGCCGGGGAATGGTGCCCGCCTGGTCGGTGCAGCATCGACAGACCAGAGTCAATGGCAAATAATAAGATCGCTACTCATTATTTTTAAAGAAAATAACTCATCTCCCAATTTTCATTAGCAAAGACGAAAACAGATGGAATCGCTACTGGCCTTACATACTCATCACGGTGGCAATCACGTGTATCGTATTTTGGAATACAGAGGCTTCTGTATCGCTACTTACGACTCTTACGGGGTCGGTGGTGCCCTATAAGTTGGGGAGACCCAGTGTGGCCACACTGCTCCCCCTCCTCCCCTATTATGGACGGCCTTGGACATTGGAATGTGTTTTTTTTAACGACTCGCATCAGACATACAAAGTTCATATAACATTGAAAAGTGTGTCACCTAATTATAGTATATTTGATATCTTTATCCTTTAGATACAAATACACCCAAGTTAAATACAAGACGTATTGTTTTGATCAACGAGCTCAAATACTTATGGACTTGAGGAAAAGTTTTTTTTTCGAGTAAATTGCATTGGTGGTACACAAACTTGTTAGGTGGGTGCAATTTAGTACATAAACTTATAAAATGCTCGTTTCAATACACGAACTTGTCTAATTTGTGCGAACGATGACCAAAATAACTTGGCAATGTTAATTTTATGAAGTTGATGTTGATTAGAATGTGACGTGTATACCTGTAATAAGACATGCAATATTTATAAATTTAGTCTCTACTTTATCCTTCATCATAAATGATGAATTTCATATGTTTCTAACCCTTATATTAGTGCTCGATATTTTTAATCTTTTTCTACTATCACTAAATCCTATTCTATATTTTATTAAATAGGTGTATGTCTAATGGTAACCTTCTCATATATATGTTTACATAGTATCCAAATCTGCCCCTAAATCAATAAGATTAGTCATATAGTGTCTTTTTTACTTCCCCCACACGCACAACACAGGTTCGTGCACCAAAACGAGCATTTTACAAGTTTGTGCACTAGATTGCATCCACCTGACAAGTTCGAGTACCGACGATGCAATTTACTCAGTTTTTTTTATGCTCGCCATTAAAGAAAGATTACTTAAAATGCTACGGAGAAGAAAAGGAAAACTTTAATGAATCACATTTTTATCCTCTTTTTACTTTTTATAAATATTTTTTTTGAAGGTAGGCAAAGGCTTTGCTATTTTTGTTTTTTAATATTTTGATTACATTTTCAATACAAAATATGCTTTCTTCGTGCGTAGTGGTATGGCAGATTGATTTAATGTGGATGTTGTTTAGTAGTTCATTCAAAATATATTATGATAACAATTTGTTTCATGTTTCAAAGACGATACAGTTGAGTGCACAGCTTTGCAGCCTTTATTCGACTAATCCACAAACGCTGACAATCTCTCTTTTGTCTATATTTCGATGAGAGGAAACGCATGTTTTTCTTACCTCGAGTAATCATTCGATAAAGCCTTAAATGAACCCCTCTGGAAAGTTTTTTTTTCCTTCTCCAAGCTATATAACCTCACAGAGAACTATGTAATTTTATCAAATCTAGTGCATTTTGCACGCATCCATTAAATGTCAATACACAAATATTCAGTTAGCTGAAGTTTAGAATGCCTGAGTTTTGCAAATACATATATATAAACTAACTGATGTTTACTAAAGGGAATATCGTAACCCTTCAATATTATAATTCAACTGACACTAAAGAAACCAATAAGTCAGCATAACCACATAGCTTGTTTTAATTAATCCCTCTAATTTTCTTTGCAGTATTTTAAAGCAAACTATTTGACCTGCGTGCAACACTGCTTACATGAATGCACGTATATGTACCAGTACTATTTTACAAAAAACAAACACAAGCTAGGAATATGGACTATTTTACAAACCAAACCATTCAGCACCCTCGCAAATTAACCTCCTACAGTTCCAAGAAAACTGAGGAAAATCAAATCAAAACAGACTAAAGACCAAAATCAAACGCCTAAAAATTTCGCCACTCCTTCGAATCGACGATCTTAATTCTTCCGGTCCAAACTACTAATCCTATTTACTCTGAATGTTCTGAACATCACCAATCACTAGCTGAATCTACGTGCAGTGCAGCAAGAGTCAGGACTCAGGAGGACGCTGTATGTGCGCTAGCTTGCAGTAATAGGTTCGCCGGCCGCCGGCGGCGGCGGCGATGGCGGCGGCGGCGGCGGAAAGATGCCCTGACCCGGCGACAGGATGGCCCGCGGGTCGTACCGGGCCTTGAGGTCGGCGACCCTGCCCCATTTCGCGCCGAAGTGGCGCCTCCACCCGTCCCGCGACGCGTGGTGCGGCAGGTACTGCCTGCACCCGATGCCGCCGCCGGCGAGGTCGCAGAGCTCCAGCACCGCCGCGTTCTCCCTCTCCAGCTGCTCCACGTCGCCGCCGCTGCCACCGGCCACCGCCGACCTCAGTAGCCCGACGGCGTAGAACACGTCCTCGTCCGGCGTCATCGCCGTCATCCTGTCATCCCACCTGCGTTTATACATCATCACGATCAATCAGCTTGTGCGTGGAAAAAATTCAACTATAAACCTTTTTAATTTTTAATTTCGAAAATAAACACTTTTAAACATTTTAATCTCGCCGATCCACCTCACGTGACAAAACAGCATTGGCACCCTACCTATGGTGGCCGTGACAATTTTATCCTATCACGCTAGGTGCTAGGTAAGATGCCGTGACAAGATACCACTGTCAGTTTAAGTATAACCAAATAACACTGATAATATTTTTTTTACGGGGGACACTGATAATATTATCATACTGATATGGCCAAAAGGTTTGTGCTGAAAATAAGTTTTAGTTTTAGAAAAAAATATTTTTAAAAACTAAAAAATAAATTAAAAGGTTCTAAAAATAAAAGGAAATTTCTTGTGCGTTGGACGAGCTCCTTGAGCTCGAGACATGCACGTTAATGGCGGCGGCGAATTGAACGTACATGTCCTTATTCATGGGGTACATGAGGATGAGGCCGACGGGGTTGGCGTTGCGGAGGATGCCCTTGAAGACGGCGGCGTCGAAGTGGAGGATGCGAGACCTGGGGACGAAGAGGTTGAGCCATGGGTGGGGCACGTCCCAGGCGCCGGCTGACCGGAGATTCTGCTCCTCCCGCCCAACCCGGTCAAGGAACTCCACGTACGATGCGTCCCTGACGAACACGAAGCCCCGGACGAAGCTCAGCTCCTCCAGTAGCGCATCAAGTTTCTGCAAAAATAAGGATTATTTTCGAGTTCAAATCACAAATTATCACGCTAACTTAGCACCTTTGTAACAAAGGAAAGAAAAACACACCCTATAAAAATCAAATTCAGCTCCGTCGTTTGCTTCTTGGTTTATCAACTGCATTCAAAACTTAAATTTACCGGTGCTTTTGATTTTTTTTATGAAAGTAGTTTATTTTCTAGTATCGGCTTTTAACTTGATAAGAATATAAATATCAAAGGTTTATTCATAAATTTTGTTTGTTACTTCGTTCATTTTTCTATGGCTCATCATTTGGTCAACTACTGATAAATCATTGAAAATGAACGAAGCAACAAAAATGTAATTACTGAATTACTTGCAAAATGAGTTAATGGATTGTGGTTTTCATATATACCTGATCCACGGAAGCGGCGGTGTTATCGTCATAGTACATTGCTCCCTCAATGTAATAGATCGCTACGGATCCAGTATCAATGGCAAGCCCAGTGAGCCGAGCAAGGTCGGTTGCAGAGAAGAAGGAAGACGACCTGCGGCCTTGGGTCAAGGTCCGATTGAGCTGGACCTGGCCCTCAACGTAATCGAACCCAGATCCGCTAGCCCATTTTGAGATAAGCAACTCTTGGTCGGTAGTAAATGGGTGAACATCTGAGTAAGCGATTCGAACCCATTTAACTCTTTTCGGAGCTGGTTCAAGTCTGATTCTGGCCCGGGTTATGACCCCAAACTGACCCAACCCACCTAGCACCGCGAAGAACAGGGCCGAGTTCACCTCTGGTGAGCAAGTGATCATCTCACCCATTCCTACAACCACAACATTTTTGTTGATTAGTTAATTGTGCTCTCTGTGCCCGTGGACAATAATTAACATAATGTATGTATAAGCAACGTGGACCACACTAGTCATCACCCATCACTCTATCAGATCTCAAATTATAAGAAAGACCAAACTGGAATTGTACCTGTCACCACATCAAGTTCGTGGACGTTGGAGATCTGTGGCCCATGCCGGAATGCCTGCCCACCGATGCCGGCGTTGGAGAGCGTGCCACCGACGGTGATGCGGAGGTAGTCGGTCCATACACGTGGCGTGAGACCATGCTTGAGGGCAGTGTGGAGCACGTCGATCCATAGCTGCTCGCCACCGGCATCCACATACATCCTATCAACCGACACGTCGATACGGTGACTGGTATGGTGACCGTGATCACCGAGAGCCGACATGTCAACAACAATGCCGCCCGGGGCGAAGGCCTGTCCTCGAGAGGAGTGGCCCTTGCCTCGTGGTGCCACGGTGAAGGGTGTCGGCTGAGAGAGTGATAAGCGGATTAGGGCAGCGATGTCAGCAGGGAAGGTAGGACGAAATACCCCGTTTGGTGTAGCATGTACAATATGGCCAAAGTCCGATGATGCCTTGGTAGTCGCGTCATGATCAGTGTGGATTTTGGACATGATATCCAAAGAAGAAACATCGTAACTAGTGAGGACGCCACCATGCACCGGTGCCCTGAGATAGGGGACAGTAGAGAGGAAGCTAGTGACGATGAGAAATGTGGTTAACTGAGCTCTGGGCATCATGCTGTTGTAACAAAGGGTTGGGATATTGTAAGTTGTGTAGCTTGAATTTGAGTACACTACTTGCATGAGTTGAGGGATCGATCTCAGAGTTTATAATGTTGCAGGACAACACCTATCCTTGGTATTTATAGTGTTGCAGCATGAGCTGATAAAAAATCAGCGCAAGAGTGGAGTGCTTCCACTCATTTTTGTATTTTTTAGGATTTGAATGTTGCAAAGGATTTGACTTCTGCCCAACAAACAATTCTTCCTAATAAACTTTAGGGTGTGTTTGGTTGAGTGGATGAGTCTGGATGGGAGATTAGAAAACTTGGTCACCACCTCATTGGCCTTGGCTTGACTCTATGGATGACCACAATGATTATCATCAATACAAAATCGTGACCGCATTTTTCTAGTTTTGCCGGCAAGGAAATCAGTTTTGTTGTTTCAATATATGAAACATGAGATACATACAACATACTTAAGTGCTGCTTTCCTAGCCCAAGTCAAAATATTGTTGTTGGGTGTCATAAAGCATGGTCCTCTTTGTGATACCATATGATGGAATACTTTTTCAAATGGGATTACCATGCTTTTTCAAATTTCAGTGGGAGTACTTCTATTTACATTTTACATCAACTTATGAGACCAGATATACGAATTATTGCCTATTTGAACCATTAGATCAACAAATAGGTGGTTTGGATTGCGTGTAGTGCAGTGGTAGGCTCTAATTGTTTGACAAAATATAATTTACGGATAAAACTTTCATCTCTGTGTTATTAACAGTTTATAAGCTAATGCTATTATGATTTAAAAAAACCTAAAATCAACTCCAAATTTATGTTTTCGAGTTGCGACTAATAAGGTAACAAGCAGAGATGATGAGAGGCATAATAAAACCATAATAGATCTAAATCCCATGTCACCCCAATTCATGTGGTTTTAGTGTATCCGCAACCTAAAGAGGCACTCAAAATTGTTGTTGTAACTAGATAAAATTTGGCTCCCCTAGTGGTTGCATCCATGTAGAGGTTGGATAAAATAAACATTAAAAAAATGAAACAAATTGAAAGGTGTAGTTTATATGTATTTGCCCCCTTGTACTTCAAATTGGACTTTTAGTTAAATCTTCTATTTAATATAAGGATTTACTCTTCTCTTCAGAAAGCATGAATTATTTAATGGATTTTTATTTTATAGTACACAATTTTCTTTATTTTTTTTCTCAGCATATGATATCTTTTGGATGGTAAGTGGTGCAAAGTGTAGTATAATTTTGAGTTCCTGCGGTCAGCTTAGGACGGCGTAATTAGATAACAGAGGATTTTTCAACAGGGTAGCAGGATAGATATATATTATTGTACTGGTAGCATGATTATCAAGCTAAGGCCTACTTGTTGTATTCAAACAAATCAGAGCTCGAGATTTGTCAACTTCCTACATATACTCCACGAACTGGAGGTGGCCATCTACCACCTGCCTCTCATTTGTTCTTACAAAAAGGTCAATTTCAAATCTCCAACACAGGTAATGCTACCATTGAAGAAGCATCACCAGATAAATAAATGAACACGCCGACTTTCTAAAGTTTTAAGCTATACAAGTCAATGGCTGTACCTCTCCTTTTTTTTTCCCTCATGTACTGTTAAATTTTACAAAATTTTTATGAGAAGAACTTCAAAAAAACTACTCTGTATTACACTGGGTCCAAAACTACGTGCCCTGAATCCGGACAAGATGACTTCGTGCTAAACCTGAGAACAGGTCTCCTTCATCAGTTAGTAAAAGAAGCTTAAAATCGAACGCTGCAATGAAACTTGTCTAAGACTGGAACTTCTGCAACAACTTATGCATTGTGATTTTTATATCTCCAAAGTCATCAGACATGTCCGCAAACAAAAAAAAGGAAGAAGTATGTCACAGACTCTGCAACCGTCAGGTCATCAGGCCATTACACGTGTAGTACACTAACCTAACAATTCACTGCCAAATCGATCGCTCGAACTAATCAGGCGATTGATGCATATGAACCAGATTATTTAGTACAGTGGCTGAAACTTGTGTTAGTTTTTTACTTGTAGTACCAAGTAGCAGATGCCTTCAATAGTTCATTTTGTACGATGTCTGAAACTTGTGTTAGTTTTTTAGCTTGTGGGTGTGTTCACATCCCAAAAATTTTTGGCCAAAAATGTCACATCAAATTTTTGAACACATGCATGGAGCATTAAATGTAGACGAAAAAAAACCAATTGCATAGTTTGCATGTAAATTACGAGACGAATCTTTTGAGCTTAATTGCGTCATGATTTGACAATGTGATGCTACATTAAACATTTGCTAATGATGGATTAATTAGGCTTAATATATTCGTCTCGCAGTTTATAAGCGGAATCTGTAATTTGTTGTCATTAGTCTATGTTTAATACTTCAAATGTGTGTACGTATACTTAAAAAAAAATTGGCCAAAGAACTAAACACGGATTATATCAATAATACAGCAAAAGAGTACTCAGTCTGACGGTAGGTACGACCATGACAAATTTGACAACCCGTGCCAACAACACAAGCCGGCAACATATATACATTTGGCTAAGCTTTGAAACCAGCCCGTAGATTGTACTCACTAGATCAACAAAACAAACTAGCAGCATCCAGTAATCTTCAGAACAGAACAATGCACTGTAAAATTAATCAGCAGATATAATACTGATACTATGTAGCAAGAGCCAAGAGCAAGAAGTTAAGCAAACCGGCACCGGCGAGGAGCTGATTGATCATCAGACAGCAGCGCCGATCAGTTGCGCCACTTGTAGCGGCGGAAGAGGTCCTCGGTCTGCGCGTTCTTGAAGGCGCTGCAGCCGATGACGTAGAAGAAGATGAGCGCGACGGTGGCGATGACGAGGGCGACGTTGGCCCTGCGCCACTGCTCCCGCAGGGTGCCCAGCATCCCGGCCTTGCAGGAGCTGCACTCGTAGCAGAGCTGCGACGGGTCGTTCCCCCACGCGGCGCAGTCCGCGTCCGCAGCCGGGTTCGCCGGGTTCACCCACACCGTCGGGCTCACGTACGCGTACCCGCACACCGTCGGCGGCTTGCAGCAGCCCGACTGCAGAATGCACACGATCAAGTTGATTGTGCCTCAGATATATGGCCACTCATTTGCATAAATATTCAGGTTTCTGCTTGGAAAATGGAATGGTAAATCCATCGTCAAAACTACCTCGATATTATTATATTTATTCCAGTTATTTTGCCAGCATTGAAGATACAAAATTAAGCAATGGTCAAACGTAAGCATTCGAGATCATATCTTTTATCTTTGGCTGAACCGTAAATGAACAAAAAGGTACTACTGAGGAGTAACAATGTAAACATTCCAGAATTTGGAATGAGACCAGGATATCCTAAATTCATGGAACGAAGTCAGGACATTTTGATGTCAGCTAGCTGAACTGCATTAATTGTGTTCTGATCTACTGAACAATGATTTTTTCTCGGAAACCTGAAGATGTGCAAAATCCGAGATACTAGTCCAAGGATTTCTCTCTCTCTCTGTTTGAGAGAGAGAGAGAGTCCAAGGATAGCAGTTACACAAGGAGACAAAAATGTGAACTGGATCAGGTGACATGGCCCAGCACATTGAGCCATTTCTTTTCCAAAATGATCTTGCACACCGAGCCATGCTTGGTTTGCACTTATCTGAACCTCCATTGCTAATGCTACACAGGAGAAGATTCATCTACAGAACATCGAAATGCCAACCATAGAAAACTAATATTAAGAAAATCAGTTAATTAAGTACATGCCCCCATGTGCCGGCCCATATGCCCATGTCACCTAAGCTAGAACGAGACCATTAAGATCAACAATTCACATAACCACAACCTTAATTACCAGCAAATCTTGTTCAGTTTCATGGTTTCATCAGTGTTCTTTCTCTTGAGCAAAGATTGGTACCATGGATAATAATGGAAGTGCCCCCACAGTGAAATTTCCACACAAATCACCACCTTTCCATCCATGGATCCCTCACCTTTTCTCTTTAGACGATTTGCACACTCATAAAAGAACTGCAATGTGCTGCAACATTTGGGGATAATTTAACCCTACTTTATTCTTAGACCCCACAAAAATTGTTCCTTGATTCCTCTTGTTGCCAACCAGTGCTACCTAGCAACTGTACTACTAATAGAGATCGATTGTACTAGCTACTAGCTAGCAGTCACATTGGTCATGTTAAACTAAGTCGATTGATTAATTAAGCAATGCGATTAGGGCTGAGTTTAGTTCCAAACTTTTTCTTCAACCTTCCAACTTTTCCATCACATCAAATCTTTCCTACACCCACAAACTTCCAACTTTTCCGTCACATCATTTCAATTTCAACCAAACTTCCAATTTTAGCGTGAACTAAACACACCCTACACCCTAGTAATCGGTGTGATGTATGGTTAAATCGATGAATTAATTGAGGATTACTGATTACCTGGAGCGGGGTGAGGTGTGATTGGTAGAACTGCTCGGGGGTGATGAAGAAGACGCTCTCCTGCGCCAGCTTCCTGCAGGTGTCGGAGGCGGCGAGGCAAGCCCTGATCCCCTCCCACCGGCGAGGGTCGCCGGCGACGCGGTCCCGCAGCCAGGTGGAGTAGCCGTCGAGGCGGTAGTCGTCGTAGGCGCGGGCGAAGGCGGGGTAGGCGCCGGAGGGGCGGGTGACGGCGAAGGCGAAGACGAGGAGGGCGAGGAGGAGGGTGATGAGCGCGGCCATGGCGAAGAGGTAGGCGGCGAGGAGGCCCCGGCGGTTCCAGTAGGCGCCGGCGAAGCCGGCGAGGGCGACGAGGAGGAGGGCGGCGCCGAGGATAGCGAGCGGCCAGCGCGCGACGCGGGCGCAGTCGTCGCCCTGCTTGGAGGCGAACCAGACGCCCGTGGCCACCACCGGGACGGCGCACACCAGCGCCAGGAAGTTGACGCACGCCGTGATGTTGTTGCTCACCGCCATGGATGGCTCTCTCTCGGCTGTGGCTCGAGCTGAGTGAGAGTGAGAGTGAGAGTGAGAGAGCGTGTGTGATGCGAGTGTGAAAGGTGAGAGCTTTTTGTTGTTGTTGTGGTTGTTGTGTTTGGGAGGAGGGGAAAGGTGAGAGCTTTGCTGCTGACTAGAAATTTCTTCTTGGCTGCTGCAGCAGAGTGGATGGAGAGGGAATGCACGTACGCTTGCACGCGGCGAAAGAATTCAAAATAGATAAATGAATCAGGTTAGTACTACTATTATCATGTGACACATTTTATATAAAACTAAAAAAAATACCCGTGTATTATAACGGGTGAAGGTTATTTTAATTTTTATTGTTGTTATATGGTTTAATTAAGGTGAAATTCACTATGAAAATTCACTTATATATATATATATATATATATATATATATATATATATATATATAGAGAGAGAGAGAGAGAGAAAATCATGAGCTGTAATTACGAATCCGATCATCTCAAGTTAGCATATATGCTCCTGTATTTTTAAAAGCGAACGAATTTAAAACCTGACTTAAATACATATCTGTAATTCTAAAAGCGAACAAACTTAAAAATCGACTCATACACGGATGACGTATCAAAGTACTAGCAAAACCATCTTAAATTTTTATAATAGTAGAGATTATTTATACTACCGCTCCTGTATTTCCGAAAGTGAACAAACTTAAAAACCTGACTCAAATACAAATCTATATTTCTAAAAGCGAACGAACTTGAAAACCGACTCATACACAAATGACATACAAAAGTACCAGCAAAAACATCTTCAATTTTTAAAAATACTAGAAAAGATGTCCGTACGTTGCAACGGGTGAAGGTTATTTTAATCTTATTATTGTTATACAGTTTAATTAAGAGGTAAAATTTACTGTGGGAATTCGCTTGGATATATATTGTTTTAGAAAATCATGAGCTGTAGTTAGGATCGTCTCAAGATAGCGTGTGACTTTTTTTTAATGAGATTTCTTATATGACGAATTCTGTATTTTTAAAAGCAAACGAATTTAAAAGCCGACTCTAATACAGATATGTATTTCAAAAACGAACTTAAAAGCCGATTTATACCAAAGTACCGGTAAAACTATCTTAGTAGAGATAGAGATGGAGATAGAGATTTATTTATTTTGAAATGGAGAAAGCAGCAAGGAAAATTGGGTTGGTTTGGAAACGCTTCGAAACTGTCGCGGGTTACGGGAGATTGTAGCCGTGTGCCGGCCGCCGCGAGGTCTCGTGTGATTACGTGATGCCGGTGACACGCGCCGCTCGCCCAATGGGGAGTAGCGCGGATCGCCATGGCTGCTTCCGTGCGTCGTCTCGGTAGGCGGTCGCAGACGAGGAGGGGGCCACGTGCCGGTGCTTTTGCCGCGTCGTCCGCGACGTCGGCCGGGTTGCAATGGCCGGAGCCCAAGACCAGATCGTCACCGACCGTGACATTTCGTGCCGGGGAGGCCCATCTCTTTCAAGAAAACGAATCCAGAAAAAGTGCATAAAACCACAAAATAAGATATATATATATCGTTCTCAACTTATAAAACCAGGTTCTTAGATGGTTTTAATTATGGTTTTATCCGATGTGGCTGCTAAATCAACGTGGGATCTACGTGAACCCCATATGCAAGGATGACCACGTCATCACCCTCTCTTTTTCCCCTCTTCTCTCCCTTCCTCCTCTCTCTCTCACTCTTCTCCTCGTCTGGGCAGGCCGATCGACGGGTGGGAAGGAGGCCAGTGGACGCGAGGTGGGAGAGGAGGAGGTCTGGCGGCCGGCATGTAACATCCTGAAAATTCCCGACAATAAAAATCACTAAAATCTCGAACTTTTTAAAACTTTTGCATCATGCTGGATGTTATGGTTGCTTTTACTTGCCAAACTATAAATTGTCACAATGGAAAATTAAACTAAAGTTATACAGCTAAGTAATAATTATAATAATAAGATATTTATTATGAACCCCATAAATATTTACGCACGAGAAAACAAAGCCAGACAAAGGGAAGGTTAATTACCAATTTAATTTATGGATCAAATATTAAATACTTGAACCATGTGATGCGTGCCATGAAATATAAGTACACATGAAATGATGATCACATCAATGGCCCCATCTATAATAAAGCATCTCACTAGAATATATAATTAATATTTGAAACACCTTATCAAGCTCCTCATAGCATGAAAATCACTCATATAAAATAATGGTCATATAAATAAATTAGGCTTTATATATAAATAAGAATATGTGAGTGTTTAATTAGACAATTAGATTAATATTGTACAGAGTCTCAATTTAGATTTATCGAATTACTAGATCCACGTAAAATACATTATTATACAAATAAGTTCATTCAATGTGCTATTGTAATAATAATGGCCACATTAGGATGTTTTAATTAATTTTGGAACCCTCAAAGCCTCCAAAATTATCTAGGTTAATTTTGGAATTATACCTCATTTAAATAATGCAATAGAAAAATATATATAAAAATAAAATATGGGTAATATTAGAAATTGAGTAAACTTTCATCTAAATTAACACATCTATTGGGTAAACATTAATTGTGTGAAATTTAGAATTTATGGGACAAGATTTGAATAGCAAATCAACCAAATAGGTAAAATAGAAAAAAATCACTGTTCATTAGCCCCCTAGGTGTTCGATGTGGTCCCTAGCCTTCCCCCTCCTCTCCCACCTCTGCCCCTAGCCGCCCCGAGCCCGCGCGTCGCCGCCTCCCGCCGCTCGCCCGCCGCGCCGCCGTCGCCATCGTCGCCGTCGGCCTCGCGCCCCGTGCCGCCGCCTCGAGCCCCGTGCCGCTGCCTCGCGCCTCGCGCCGCCGCTGCCACGCTGTCGCAGCGCCGCGCGCCCGCCGGCCGCCGCGCGCCTGTCCCGTTGCCGCGCCATCCGTCGCGTCGCCGTCACCGCGCGTCGTCGTCGCCGCGCGACCGTCCCATCGCCGCGCGCGTCCCATCGTCGCTCCGAGCCGCGCGCCGCCGCTGCCGAGCCGTTCCCATCACCGTCCCCTCGCCTCTGCCGCGCCGCGCCAATGTCGCCGTCGCCATCGCCGCGGGTCGCCATCGTCTCGCGCCTCGTACCGCCCGCCGTCGCGTCGCCGCAACCGTCGCGTCGCCTCGCGCCGCGCGCCCCCACCTCGCGCCCCGCGTCGCCGTCGCGTCTCCCTTCTCCCCTCTCCCCCTTAGCTCTTCCCCTCCCCTATATAAGCCTCACTATTTCCCCCTCTTCCCCTCCATCTCCACCCCTCTCCTCTACCCACACTACCGCGCCGCCGCCTCCACGCCGCCGCGCCGCCGCACCGCCGTTATCGCACCGCCGCCATCGTGCCGCCGCGCCGCCGCCCTCGTGCTGTCGTGCCGCCGCGTTCGTGCCTCCGTGCCGCCGCCCCTGTGTGCCGCGCCGTGCGCCGTCGTCGCCGCCGCCGTCGGTGAGCCGCTGCCCCCCCCTTTTTCTTTTGTCGCCGCGCCGCTCGGGTAGGAGAGAGAGCCGAGAGAGAAAGAGAGAAACCGAGGGAGGAAAAGGAGAGGAAGGGAGAAAGAAGCCGGGAGGGAGGAGAGAAAGGAAAAAGAGAAAAAGAGAAAGGGAGGAGAGAAAGAAAAGAAAAGGGAAAAGAGAGAAAAAGAGAAAAAGAAAAGAAAAAGAGAAGAAAAAAAAAAGAAAAAAAAAGAAAAGGAAATAAATAAGAAATTAGGAGGATTTAGGAAATAAAAATGGTCGGGGTTAATAATAGATTATTTTTGGAAATTCCTCGAGCATAATAGTATTTCGATCGAAATTCCGAGTTAATTATAAATTTATGTTTCTTGATCAGAATTAGATTAAAATTGGTAGTAATTTAGATATAATTAGTAACCAAACAATTAGATGAATTCTTATAGATTATTATAGATTATTTTTGGGTAATCCCTATAAGTAATCGATTCACGGCAGAAATCCGGACTTAATCGCTAGGAATTTTAGACGTATATTATATTTAATCGTTTAATCATAGACTAAGTTAAAACGTATAATATTATAAGATAATTTTAGGATTCCGTCCGACATTTAGCTCGCGATAAGAAATTTCTAACCTAATATATGGATATTATGCTCGGGTAGATTAAATTAAAAACTTATGACAACAAAATATTTATACCCGCAAAATAGTTTAAATCGAAATTGGGTTTGCCGTAGTTCGCAGATAGTAAAGTTAATAAAAAGGAATCGACTTTCGCATTCGACTTTTACTCGGATTTAAGTGAAACTTGAACCTAAATTCAACTAAATTCATAAGCTTTCCAATAATATATAATTCACTATTTAACAAAATATATTTATAATTATAAATTAATTAATATCAAATGATTAGATAATAGTTAACCTAAATAGTGTGCCAATAAATAAAAATAGATATTGTACAGTAGAATAATTATCTTTAATATATTCTGTCACTATAGCAACCACATAAATTAAGTATAATCAATGTTTGAAATTAATGGATATATATGAAAATATTAGTGCCATTTATTAATCTATGTCCAAATATAATTAAACCCACGACTTATTAGTTATTTAAATGGAGTTAGCCTTATAATTATTAGGTAAGTAAAATATAGATACACATAGATCTGTCCTAAGCTTGTTTATGGCAAATAATAACAGAGCTAGTGTGATTAAATCACCTATATGAAATTAATCAATGACATATCCCATATAATAGCATATAGTAGGTAAGGTGAGCAACCCTTAGTTAACCAAGCAGTAAGTAGAAACTATTCAAATAAAGGATTCAATATATTAAGATATTATGCACGCATATATTGTACATCCCATTATAGATATATGGTATCGTATTAAATTGCTTATATTAATTTAGAGGGAGTATATAACAAACATGAATAGTAGATAAGTACTAATTATAAATCTTGACCTCATATGTTCATAGTTCAATTGTAACTCCGGATTGTTCATTAAGAGATAATCTGTAACTATAATATTATAAACTTCCCGAATTTAACATATAGAGCATGGATAATTATTAGCCCTTTTATAATTTATAATGGCAAGTAAAATATGTTCATAATTAAAGTAAAGCTTCCATCAATAAAATAAATAATACGAATGATTCACTGTAATTATTTGATTGATCCTAAATCCATCTA